GGGAAGGTGGCGGCGGGGAGGGGAGGGAGGAGGGAGAGGAAGGAGAGGGGGAGGAGGAGGAGGAGGATGGTGGCTGCCATGTTTATACACTCAATTTGTTTCTGTAATATGCATAGGCTGTGCTGTTGTTTATATACACATTTTTGTGTTGCTGCTGCAGCAGTCTGATTTTTATTTGATGAATAGGTCTAACGGTACTGACTATTCAAAGTCTTGGTCAAGTGATTGCGCCTCCACGCGAGGATGAATTTTCTCACATGAGAAATAATAAATAAAGTTTGATGGGGTGGGAAACTTAGGGGAGAGATAAAATGAAGCTTTAATGAGAGAGTTGAAAATGGCTCAAAAATGAATCTTAAGAAGGCACCAACGAACTTTATTTAGGACTTTGAAAAAAAAAATTATTGTTTTGTAAAATGAAATTTAAATTTGCAAACTTATGGTCAAAATAACCATCTCATCATGGAAATTTCAAAATTGTGAGCTGATTGGTCTCATCATGAGAAAAATATTACGTGCGGTCGACCGCACATCCGAATGACAAATCATATGCGGTCACGCTGTTGTGTATCGTACGAAAGTTCTTATGAGCTTTTGATTTATGGCGGGCATGCATTTATTGAGATGTTTGGTGAAAAAATATAGAGAGAGCAAGGTGGATCTACATTTGATTTTTTCTTCAATCGCTATTAATTTTTTTTTATTTATTTAGAAAAAGATTACCATAAAGCTCCATGAGAAGTTCTTTGGAAAGTTCTAGGAAAAGAGGGTGTTGATATGACTTATATTCAAGTTATTAAATATATGTATGCTAGAGCCGTTACTTGTGTTCGAACAGAAGAAAGATTGGCCAAGCAGTTTTCTATTTCAATTGTATTACATTAGGATCGGTTTTAAGCCCATATCTTTTTGTTTTGGTTATGGATGCTCTTACAGGACATTTACAGGCGGATCTACATCGGTGTGTACTTTTCACTGATTATAATTTTCTTGTAGATAAGACTTGTGAAAAAGTTTAGGACAAACTTAAATTATGAAGGTCTACATTAGAGTTTAAAGGCTTTAGTTTGAGTAGATCTAGTTGTAGTAGATATACATGGATTAAACTATTAAAACTGTATACATGGAATGTCATTCTAGTTGTAGTACATATAGTGGCAGAATTGTAATAATGTGTGATCAAATTATTAAAATGAGTGAACTCTTTAGATATTTCAGGTCAATTGTTCAAAGTGATGGTGATATAGATGGGGTTGTTATTAGTAGAATTCAAGTTGGTTGATTGAAGAGAAGAATGCATCGGGTTTATTATGTGATAGAAAAGTATCACTTAAACTGAAAGGAAAACTTTATAAGATGGTGGTAAGACTTGCAGTGTTTTATGACGCAGAATGTTGGCCTATAAAAGCGAAGCATAAAACTAAGTTAAGTGTTACTCATATGAGAATGCTTAGGTAGATGAATGGATTGACATTAGTGACAAAATGTGAAACAAATCAAATGCATCCATTAAAGGGTTGTGTAGCTCCAGTGACGAACATGATTAGAGAGAGTGATCTTAGATGGTTTGGTCACATAAGACATCGATCATCTAATAATCCAATTAGGAGAGTAGATGTTTTAGATTCGACTTATGTTAAGAAAGGTAGAGGTGGACCCAAAAAAGACTTGGGCATGTACAAAAATGATATAAATTTATAAGAATTAAATGAAAGTATGATACTCAATAGAACTCAATGGAGAAAAAAGATTCATGTAGCCGACCCTACTTAGTGCAATAAAGGATTGTTGTTGCTGTTGTATGTGAGATATATATATATATATATATAAATAAATAAAATGGCAGGAGGCTTTTATACGACCCTCGGTCATCCCTCTTGCGCCTAAGAATTCGAATACCACACCCTACACTCGAGGGGAATCAAACACCATACCAGAGGTGACTTACAACTGACAAGCAGATGCCCGACCAACTCAGCGGAGTAGGTGTTGTGAGATATGTATGTATATATACATATAGTTTTCATGAAGCAAAAGAATGACTTGCATTGTGATAGTTAACTTCATAAGTTTAGTTTTCTTTTTGGGTGTGCTATATTTACGTTTCATTTTAATTTTATTTATAAATATTCTGAGCCATTCCATTTCTACCAAGTAAAAAATCTATTTTCCAGTAGAGAAGAATTTTAGAAAGGGACATTTACATACATCACATCCAATTCTTATGTATTTACATATATAACTGCTACAACCTTACTTTTTAAATTTACATCGCCCCAAATCTTTTAAATAACATAGGAATATCACTATTTTTGTTAGGTATGGCTCATATACCAAGAAACTTGAACTATCTTGAAATGGAGAGGTGTGTCTCCTAGAATGAAAATGAGTGTCTCTTCGTGTGAAGAAGTGTGTCTCTTGGATTAGTGGGTTGGGGCGTGTCGTAAATCTCTGTGTTCTTCTTCTGTATTTGCGTTGTTTCGTCTTAAATTTCACAACAAATTTAATTAAAAAAAATGGAATAAAAAGTGTTAGATATATGAATACATAAGTATTGAGCGGTATTTATGTAAATCTTCCTCCTCGAAATTTCTTTAGAAATTAGAGATGAATGCACTTTGTAATTTAATTAATTGAGTGGTCAATAATCTTTTTTTTTTTTTTTTTGGAAAGATATATAATTAAAAGAAGTTATATATCTTTGTTAGAAACGTGAAGTTTTAACATTTGATCCACATTTATTTATTATTTACAAAGTCAAGTCTTCCACATTGCGTATAACAAAATTTACAATAAAATTTAGACGACCATTAAATTTTATCTTACCAAAAATGTTATTTTTAAGGAAAAAAAAATTTTACTTTTACGTTTCTTTTAGAAATATTTATATATATAGCACTCAATTTGTATGTATTAACATATCTAATACCTATATTTTAATTTTTACAAATATAGCCCACCTTACCTATACATGCATAATGCATGAAAAGGAATTGCTTATTAGAGGTTAAGTATTATACGTCATATTATTATTATTATTATTATTATATATACGATCTGTAACAATTGTTTATATAAAATTACAAGAAATCAATTTTCAAAATAGAACTGTTGTGGCGTTCTGAAAAGTAAAGTAGACAGAAAGTTATCCAAAACATATCCTTACAAGAATAGAACTCATTAATCTTCGTATTTGAAGAAATATGGTTCAAACTTTTGATACCTTTTCTATCTAATTCTTTGTTTTAGTCACATGCATGAAGTTAGGCCTATTAATGGAGAAAATATTAGGTGTTGACAGCAGATGTGTGGATGACACAACGCTACTGAATGAACGACATTATATAATTCACACCATCATCCACACGTCTAATATATCAGACATAATATTTTTTTTCGTATCACTATCATGCACACAGTTGAGTGCAGAAAAACTCGAATTAATATGTAAGTTAATCATGAAGAAAATAAGAAACTTTTCCTCATTGGGGCAGCATGGAAGCCTCAATGTTGCATGTTACAATTGTTATTTATAGGAAGAAAGTTAATTTGATGACTAAAGAAGTAAAGGAGGCCTGAAACACATTTTTTAATGTTGAATTATCTTCAGCTAATATATGGTACAAATGACTTTCATTTGCTCAGATTTGGAGAAGTGGTTGACACAATGCAAGTGAGCACAAATTCACACCTAAAGTTTATATAACAATGCACATGTCATTCTTTTTTCACGTTCTAAGATAATAAAGACATTTGATTTGCAATTTTGCAAATCAATATTTTGCTTTATGAAAAGTATTTGTATTAATTTATAGCTATCTATTAAAACCAATATCTTATTGTTTTGGTAGAATGTAATTAACGGAAATACTTTTCCTTTAAGCAAAATATTGTGTGTATGTGTCTGTCCATCCAAGTAAAATAACCGAACAAACAGACGTATGACACAATTTCGTCTTTTATGGGATTTTGGTGCTAGGGCTCAAGGGAAAATCACACGGATTCGTATGGGAGAATCTACGAAAGCCTCTAACCTATCGATCTCCTCTAAGCACAACAGAAAATGAGACTTAGGGGCTCTAGGAAACATAAATATGAAGTTTTGGGAGTTTATACTGTCGTGGCGGTTGATCGAAGTCTAATCCTTGCTCAGGGAGAAGCTCTCTTAGTTATGAAGAGATTCCGGCGATGCTCCAAGTACCGGCCTTCACTCCCCTCGGGTGATGAAGCTCTCCTCACAAAGAGTTTTCCGGCACCAGCGAAACACCACACTTTGTTTTTTTTTTTTCTCTGTTTCTCATACCATGATGGTGACTGAGAAAAAAATGCGAGAGGAATAAAAAGGAAGGAAACTGGAAAAGAGGAGGAGGAAGAAGAAAAATGGAGAAGCAAACTCTCCAAGCACTCATATGATTGCCCCTCAAGCCTCTGTCTCTCCCCTTAGTTTCTCGAATTAGGACAGTGACCGACAAAAAAAATGCGAGATCAGGAAGAAGAAGAAGAATGAAGAAGAGGACGCAAAAGAATGGTGAAGAAGCTTTTCAAGAACTTTGCAAATGAGCATCATATCTCTATCATGTCCTCCCTGCCCGATATATTTTCCTAGGCTCAAGACATGGAATGACCGTTCGCCCCATTTAGCAAGATCCCACATAACTAACATGTCATTTTCGGCTTTAAAACTGATACAACGGCTTATCCCGACTTACATAGATTTACATACCCACGACTCAATCCTACCCATCGGCCCGTAAAACTTCCCAACTGATCGCTGCTTTTCCCGACCAACCACCAACTTCCGACCAGTCATCAACTGCCTCCAATCAATCAATTCAATTACAAGCATCATTCAATACTTTTATTTTATATATCTAACCCTTTAAACATAACTTTATTCCCAAAAAAAGAA